AGAAGTCTAAGTGATATGGTGTCTTCCAAAGCCCTCACCATAAATCGCACTTTTAGACCATTCTGTATGGCCCAAGGATTCCAGGTAACCAAAGACACTCTAACCAGGCAGAATATTCCAGAGTCTTAGAGATGACATCTTATGAGCTCAGGGCAAAGCAAGGCTGCAAAGTTCTCTTCACGGGGTCCTTGTGAGATTCAAATGTGGGCGTGTGTGTGCGGGAGTCCCTGTGCCTGGCCCTGGTTAGTGCCCTGCAAGTGTTCACTAGCGGATCTGAGTGCTTAGAATGTGTCCGGTACAAACCTCCACACTTATAAACACTCATCTAGAGCTCACAACAGCTGACAGAGTGGCTCAGTGGGAGGAACACCTGCCTAGCAAGCACGAGGCTCTGAGTTCAAACCCCAGTGCCACCAAAAAAAAAAGTAAATATAGTCCACAACATCCCTCTGGGGTGAGCACTACTGACCTCATTCATCAAAAGAAGTTCTCAGAGTGGTGGCCCTTAGGTCAGGGTCACCGTGAATGCAGGGGCCTGAGACCATGATCAGTCCCCACCTGCAGAGAAATTGTGTCCTGGTGTCTCTGCCCTATGGAGGACTTTCATTAACACTCTGCCCTCATGCTTGCTTTTGGGACTTTCTCAGACTTCCCTCATGACACCAGAGTCCCTTCACACTCTCTGTCCCCTGTCCTTTCCCTACTCTCCACCTGCCCACTGCACCCAACTGGGGCTCTCTCCTACCTGCTTGCAGTCACAGCCTCAGCATCCACTGTTCCTCAAATGCTCTGAAGGGCCTGAGATTTTACTAACTTACAAAGAAATTAAGTCAGCCAGCTCCAGTTTCCTAGATGCTGGCAGAATACATGAAACTCTTGTGTCTGAGGACTTTCAACAGTAGGCAGTGTGAGCTTCACATTCACAGCCATTCATTCTGTCCCACAGACCCTATGGGGCGATCAAAGCAGTGCAGTTGGATTCTGTGCTCACAGTAGTTTCTGCACTGGTGAGCAACCTGAGCTTAAGAGTACTCAATTTTATAAGAGGGCCACCTGAAAACCTGCCCAGTCTTTGTCCCTGAAGAAGATGTTCTCTTTATTAGGCTGAACTGAAAACAAATCCACTTCATAGGGACATTATGCTTATTATCCTAAAGTAAATAAGTCTGTCATAAGAGAGACACTGACTTTATTACTAGGACAGTAAGCAACTCTGATCTTAGGGAGATAGCGTTTCACAAAGCTGCCTGCTATACAAACAACCTTGAAAGGAAAGGTGTTGATGCTTTGGTTTAGAAGACAGAAATGCAAGAGACCATGGGGAAATGTCTCCCCCAAACAATTCAGCCTGAGCCTTCCACCCTGTCTGCAGGACGACAGTCCTTTGTGGAACACTTGGTCACCACATCCCAATTCTCTAGTGTAACCAAGGTTCTAGGTCCAGCTCCCAAATAGGGCTGGCAGGAGCTCACTGCCAAACTCAGAAAACGGCGGGGGTGGGGGGGAGACATGGCTGGGATCAGAACTCCTGGGTTGAGAGGAGAGGGGAATCAGATTCCAGGGTTCTGAGGGAGGAAGAGGTTGAGGTCAGGCCCCTGGGTGAGGAGGGGGTCTGGGCTCTGGACTCTTAGGTCTCTAGATTAGTAAGGTCTCATGTCCTGAGAAGATGGTGTGCAAATGACCCAGGGGGTCTCAGAATCCTGCATTCCAAGGAAGAAAGGGCTGTAACTTGCTGGGCTGAGACCCAGGTGTGTATAACAATATTTCTTGGTCCCTAGGGATTGGGGTTGGAACTGTTGGCTTCATAGTCTGGGGTGAAGGTAATGGGTTCTCCAGATTCCCAAAGGGACTGAGAACCCTGGGTTTCCCATGCTTTGATTGTTCAGTGTACTACTCACAGGGATGGTGCCTGGGTGAGCACAATCTGCGCGTGCGCGAGAGGCTCTGTGGCCTGTGGGCGGGATAATGTATCACCTAGCAACCACGCTAAGGGGCGCGCGATCATTGCTGTGACGTCATGTTTCTGCGACTAAATGGGCGTGAACCTTTCCAGGCACGTGCCACCCTTTGATCTGCGAGGACTCAGGCTGGGGCTTGATGCCAGATAAGGAGCTTCTTCCCAAAGATAACCACAGCTGAAAGGTGTTTGAGAAAGGCCACATCACCACTGATAAAATCTCAAGAGCTTTGGGACCATAGGAAAAGGGATTCGTTCCACTTTCACCCCCAGGTCTCCCAGATATGTTGCATTGTGTCAACATCAAGGTTGCCTCAGCCACATCTTGAACAAAGACTAGTCAGGGTGCCTGATGAACATCATGGTGTGTGAAGGGTGGAGTCAGGGTCTTCTGTAGTCCCAGCTCAGAGGGAGCCACGGAGAGGAGAAATGTGGGCGACTTTGACAGTCAGGGTGCAGTTGTGTTGGATTTCCTTTGGCCAGAGAAAGTAGGGGGTATGGAGCCAGGAGTGGTGGTGCACATCTGTAATTCTAGCTACTCGAGAGGCAGAAGATCATGAGTTCTAAGCCAGCCTAGGTAAAGTTAGCAAGATCCTATCTCAACAAACAAATTCCAACAAAAGGACTGGTGATATGGTTCAAGTGGTGGAGTGCTTACCTAGCAAGCTCAAAGCTAGATTCATTCCCCACTACTGGAAAAAAAAAAAGAAAAAGTACTGGGTAGTGTCAGGTGGACGCGGATGGAAAGGCCAAATCAGAGTCAAATGACAAAGCAAGCAGGCTTTATTGAGAGCGTGCTCTCGGGCGAGGTTCACTATCCCCAAAGAACAGGGCCGGAGAAGTCCTGCCCGAGAAATGACAGCCCAGTTTTTTATGTCCTGGGTGAAGTCAAGAGCTTCGGGTATTGGGGCATCGGGATAGGTTGAAGTCCAGTGGGAAGGAGCTCAAGGTGACATGGACCTATAGGATAGGTCCCGACCTATTTCCCGCGGTGGGAACTGCCATGGTAACCAGAGGAGGAAGAGGAAGGAGAAGGGTGAAGTGGAAAGTCCACGATCATCACGGGCCTGCGGGAGTTGCCATGGCAACCAGAGGGGGGGGAAGAGGGAAGGGAAGGGTGAGGTGGAAAGTCCCTGACCGTCACAAGGTGGCTGCCCACTGGCCAAACAGGTAGTGCTTCTAGGATAGAGCACAAGGATCAGTTAGAATGGAGGATCGAGTTGGAGTTTGGTTAGAGATGGGGCTAGGAATGTGCTTTGGTTGGGTTAGGGACAGAAAATGTCAGGGTGTTTCGGGATGGTGTGGCTTTTGGATGGAAATGGGTTTGTTTTGATGTTGGATGGAAAATGTGTGGGAGTTGAATTGGGGGAGAAAGTAGGTTTGGTTTTGGAAGCAAAAGACAGAAATAGATAGGCATTGGTTTGTACTGGATATGAGGAAGAACAAAAATGTGGTTGGAGGTGTGTGTGTGTGTATGCGTTTGTGTGATGGCAATGGGAACCCAGGGCCTTATGCACAGTAGGCAAGAACTCTACCACTGAGCTACATGTCCAGCCCTTCCTTTAAGCAGAGGAAGATGCAGGGGTTACGTTGAGTGAGGTTAGGTTGGTTGGGGTTGTGTGTGGTGTGATTGAATTGTTCTGTGTTAAATTGGCTTGGCCAGGGTTTAAATAGGGATTAGGATATGCCTGGGACCCTAAGTCCAGGAGGTCCTCACCAAACAGAGGCAAACTTCCTCCCAAGGATGATTCCAGGGAATCTTTAAACGTGGGTGGGAGAGAGCAGATGACTGGCTGGGTATATCCCTCTGCCCCAGTCTTTATGGTCTGAAATTGTGACTGTCTCCAAGCCACTTCTGTCTCCCTCAGTGTACTTGAAGTTTGTCTTCAGAAGGGGGAGATTTTATCAGGCTGTGACTCCAAAATGTGGTTTTAGATGCCATATAATCTATTTTTTTCCTGGCAGTACTGGGGCTTGAACTCAGGACCTCACACTTGCTAGGCAGACACTCTACCACTCGAGCCACTCCACCAGCCCTTTTTTTGTGCAGGGTATTTCCAAGATAGGGTCTTGTGAGCTTTTTTCCCTGGGATAACCTCAAATCACAATCCTTCTGATCTCTGCCTCCCGAATAACTAAGATTACAGGCATGAACCATCAGGTCGGGAAGCCATGTGACCTTGAGATGCATAAACCTACCCCTGGATCTGAATATATTATTAAGGAGAGCATCATACTTTTTCATGAGGATGCTCTTGACTTGGTGGGCAGGTCAACCGGAATCTGTGTTCCATACAGAGTGCACACATCTGGAGAATGAAGAGTAAGAGCCAGTGAGCCCCACATCCCCTCAAGGACATTGGATTTTGAAATGCTAGGGAACTTGACCTAGGACACTCGTGTTTCTGGATTGAAGAGCCCTGTCTGCACAGTGTGGAGAACCCCAATGTTTCATTATAAGAGAAGAAATAGACTTGGGGAACTAGATTCTGGGTGTGGGGGCGCAAGAACTAGAGGGTTCTGGATGCTAAGACTTCCATTTCAGGGACTAGAAAAGGTGGAGGAGGGTCAGCATCTTGGCTCAGGTTGATAGAGAGATCAAGGAGTCACAGAGTCCTCATGGGGCTTGTATGTCAGAGGACATTGGTTCTTCAGGGCCACAGGACTTACTTGGGATTTAAGCACATGAGACTTTGTTTTGAGGGTCAATCCTACTCCCTGCTCTGGTTCACCCCGGGCCTCTCTTTCCTGGCTCTGTCTCTTAGATCAAGTCTCCATGAACTACAGGCGCTGCCCCCATTGCGCCTCAGACCTTGGGAATGCATCCGGGGTGATCTTGTGGGTTCAGAACAAGAAGTACTGGGTCCTCCTGCTCCTCCACAGCTCTTGGTGTGGAAGGTGTCCAGCTCTTGGCAGCATGGGTGGGGCCTTGGCCAGCCTCTCGGTGCCAGCAGGGCAGGGGTGGGGTCCAAGGGAAAGAAGGCTTTATAAGGCTCTTCAGGGAGGTCACTTAGCCCCAAGCTGGCCATCTGCCTTTGTCACCATGTTGTTCCTGGTTCTGTGCCTTATCCTGTCCCTGGGGAAGAATGGTGAGACAATGGGGGAAAGCACTGGGGGAGGGGGCCCTGACTCTCATGCTCCCCTCACCCCCATAAGTCCTTTCTCTCATACCCAGTACCTCAACCTCATCCCTCCAGCCCACAGCTCACCTCAGACCAGAAGCCAGGTTTGTTTCTCTTTCTCACATCCTCACCCTAAATTCCTCCCTCTGACCTCTCCACATTACCCAATCCCACTGTCCTTATTCCCACACCAGATCCCTGCTTCCTCTCAGGAACTCCAGAACTTTCTTCTCTTGCCCCGTCCACACCCTGCTGCTAGCCACTTTACTAAAGGGGCAGATCGTGAGTCATGTCTGTGTTTTGGGGGCTCAAAATCTTACCAGGACCTCTCTCAATGCCAGTGAAGACCACTGGTCTGCATCCCAAACTCTTTAATCCTGCCAACTTCCACTAACTTTGCCCATCTAGCTGAGAATTGTCAATCTTGTAGCCTAGAACTTGACACTGACCCCCACTACCGCTCCTGGGAAACCCAGAATCAATCATACACCCTGTGTCTTCCCAGAGCCAGGCTATCTGACCTGAGACATCAAACAGAAACCCTTGCCTGGCATTTGGGTTCTGAAATTTTCTCCTCATTCCCTGACTCTTTGCCCCAGACCATTTATCAATAACTAGCTTTTCACCCAGAAAATACAGGCTGCAGTGGGTATAGAAGCCAATCGTGAGTTTGAGGCTAGCCTGAACCACGTAGTAAGATCCTGTCTTAAACACACAGCACCCCCAGTCACAAGTGCCAGTTCTTCTACAACTGATTTCCTAAGTCTGAATCCCTTTCAGAACTTCAGAAACCCAGCCCAGTCCCAAACCGTTTCCCCAACCTGGGACCCTCCACCCTCCAAAGCCTTTCTCCTCCAGCAAATGGACCTCTACCACGGGGAGTTCATCCTTGGTTTCTAGAACTCTCTGCACGCCCAGGATTTACAGTTCCCACCACAGTCACCTGTTCCCTCATTCCAGACCCCAAATCACCCAAATTGTCTAACTCCCCACAAGACCCAATTTCCACTCCATATGCTGTCTTGGTGTCTCCTGCCCTCATCCTTGGGATGTGCTCTGATCTGAGAATATAAAGTCACCCTAATCTGACAGACACCAACCCACAAACCCAGAGAATGGCCCAGAATTCTTGTCTCTTCCTACATCTTTGTCCATGGCCTAGGAACCCCAGCCCTGGTCCTCTGCCCCCACGACCCTTCAAGTCCACAGGACAGCTTCCTCTCCCAGTCCAGTCCCCCATCCCTACTCCCAACCCTGCGCCCCTACCCAGAACCCCCTTCTGCAGGCGCGGTACCCCTCATCCAGTCCCGGATCATAGGAGGCTGGAAGTGTGAGAAGCAGTCCCAACCCTGGCAGGTGGCTGTGTCTTCCCAAGGTTTCGCAATGTGTGGGGGCGTCCTGGTGCACCCCCAGTGGGTACTCACAGCTGCCCACTGCATCAGAAAGTGAGTAGGGGGTTAGTGGTGTAGCTCAGTAGGATAGCTCTTGGCCAGCATGCGTGAAGTCCTGGGTTCTATCCCCAGTACCACCCCCAGGGGATCTGAGAGGGGGCTTCTGTGCTCCACAGAAACAAACAGATGGCATTTCCCTTGGATGACCTCATGTGAGGCTGGGGTCCGAGGGAGAGAAGGACGGTGCTAGGAGAGGCAGAGCTAGGGCTGGACCACCCTGTCCATGGCCATCTGGGCCTCTCTGTGTCTCTTCCTCTGTCATGGCCTCTTTGTGGCCCCTCCCTGCAGGTCCTTCTGTCCATTCTGAGGAGACACAGGGAAGGCTGGGCTGAGATGGAGCTGGGACAGAGCAACTGAGGGAGGAGGAAAGAAAAGAGGAAAAAGGGACGGGAAGGCAGGGTGCTGGGGAGGGAGGAGCCACGATTTTGTTCTTCTGGCCAGGCCCTCCTTCTAGGGAGCCCTCAGCCCAGCTCCACTGCAGCTGAGCATCTCAGACCTTCCCTCCTCCTCCTCCCCACCCTCCTTTCTCTCCCTCTCTCTGCCCCTGGCTTCATCTCTATTCAATGTCTCTCTCTCTTTACTTCCTGTGTCCCTTTCCCATTTTCTTTCCTACCCTCTCCCTTGTTATTTTCTTCCCCACTGTTCCTCCTTGAGCCCCTCCCCGTGCTCCCTACCCCATCTCTCCCACTCCCTCTCTTTCCTCATTCTCCCCCTTCCTCCCCAGAAATAGCCAGGTCTGGCTGGGTGGCCACAACCTGTTTGACCATGAAGACACAGCTCAGTCCATCCAGGTCAGATGCTCCTTTCCTCACCCCCTCTATGATATGAGCCTCCTGAAAAACAGAAAGCCCAGCTCACACAAGGACAGCAGCCATGACTTGATGTTCCTCCACCTGTCCGAGCCGGCCAACATCACAGACACTGTGAGGGTCCTGGACCTGCCCCCTGAGGAACCAGAGCTGGGGAGTTGCCGCTTCGCCTCCGGCTGGGGCAGTATCCATCCACATGAAGGTACACCTGGGCAGGTCCAGGCAGCCTGGATCCCTGATACCCAGGTCTGAGAGAGGAAGGGGGGTGGCCAAGGAACCATGACTGCAGCCATGTTTGTCCCTGGTCCACAGTCTTGTTCCCAAGGACTCTCCAGTGTGTGGACCTCAACCTCATGTCCAACGACGTATGTGAGAAGGCGTATTCCGAGAAGGTGACAGAGTTCATGCTGTGTGCTGGGCGCTGGAAAGGTGGCAAAGACACCTGTGGGGTGAGCCATCCCCACCCCCTCCCTGTACTCTTGAGGGGAAAGGACCAGAGAGGACCCTAATTCCCAGCTGGGACCTGAGGACAACCGGGCACCACTCTACTGCTGTAGACCCCCGACACACCTACCCAATGTCTAGTCTCCCTCTCATCCTCCCCCCCCATCCTTGACCTTCCTCCCTCCAGGTACCTTGTGCATGCCATGCTCCCCCCATCACAGCCCTCATCACATTTTACTAAGCATCAGCCACATGCCCAGCACTGTCATAGCTTCTAGGTCCTGGGCAGACAGCAGTGAGCAGAGAACACCACTCCCACGTGGAGCCCCATTCTTTGGGGGTAGAGAGAAACAGGAAGCACAACACACACCCAGTGAAGAAGGTCGGGAGCTAAGGGAAAGGGAGGAGACCTGGGGACAGTGAGAGACTGATAGTTTAGTGGGGGGAGACCTTGTGTGGAAGTGACATAAGCTGACACCTGACACAGGTGAGCGGTGACTATATGGCATCTGGGGAGGAGCAGAGGAAACAGAAGAGCTGGTGTCCCCTGGGGAGAGAGCCTGAGGGGTGTGGGGGCAGCCAGGAGCTGTGTGGCTGGGCAAGGAACAGAAGGTGAGAAGAGTTCAGAGAGGGCATTGAGGTCCTGCTGGCCTAAACTGGCCACAGGAGGGCGCTACATTTCCTCTGGCGAGCTGGGGAGCTGTGCAGGGTGCTGGGCAGAGGCAGGACAGGGCCTGACTCCAGGCTCACAGGCGCCCTCTGGTGTCTGTGTGGGGGATCGGACTGCAAGGAGGGGCAGAGGTTGCAGATCGAGGGATGAGGCTGACCTAGGTGGAGGATCCAGGCCTTGTGCCTGTCTGGATCCTTCCCTCGGCCTTTCACACATGCTCAGGCATCAGTTTCTCCCCTTTCACTGCATCCCACCTGGCTCTTCTGATCTCAGGACACACTTTGTTGAGCCCCTGTTCACAGCCCTCAATGGCTCCCTAGTTCCCTGGGAAGGAGGGTGTCTACTCAGAGAAAGTTTCCTGGAGAGGAGAGTCTGAGATGAGCCCTAGCGGAAGGAGGGGAGCACCCCATAGCTGGTCCTGAGCCTTCCCTGCCCATTTGTCTGTAGGACTGTCCCAGACCTACCCCCCTGTGCAGGGGCAGAGCTCTGATGTCCCTTCCCCACTGTCCAGGACTCAAGCCACTGTCTCTATTGGAATGCTCACCTACCTTCTGGACCATGGAGACACTTCTGTTTCCTTGTAGCTGGGGAATTCCTATCATGATCTGCCAGTCCAGTGCTGAGAGATGGGGATCCCCAGGCAGACATTGGGGATGACCTCCTCGTTCTCTGTCTCTGTCCCTTTGATCCTTAGGTGATTCAGGGGGCCCGCTCATCTGTAATGGCATGCTTCAAGGTCTGACATCATGGGGCAGTAACCCTTGTGCCCTGCCAAGACAGCCTGCCCTCTACACCAAGCTGACACGTTATCGGAAGTGGATCGAGGACACCATGGTAGCCAACCCCTGAGTGCCCCTGTCCCGTGCCACCCCTAGTAAAATGGAGCACACCTCAAGTTCTGGCATCATCCCACCTTTCTAGACCCTGGGCACCTGGAAGCTATGAACTCACCTTGTCAAAGCCAGAGCCTCCCCAGTCCGCCCAACCCAGGTCCCAGGTGTGGAGTCAGAGCTGCCAGGACAAGGAAGAGACAGAGCCAGGTGTGCACCAGTGGCTCTCAAGTGGGTGCAGTTTTGTTGTCCCTTTCAAGGGCATGACCAAACCTGGAGACATCTTCTCACACGGGTTCTTCAAGCTCACACAGAAGGAAGTGGGTAGCCCTTAACCTGTGAGTGTGAAGAGATGGGGGAGGGATGGCCCACTGGGGAGTTACCAGTAGCACATGATATCCATGGAGCACTGAGCAGGAGATACAGAGCAAGGGTGGCCTACTTTGTCCTGGGGGGCACTGGAGAGCCCAAAGAGGATGGAGGGTCACCCTCTGTTGGGGGAGGGTTGGGAGAAATCAGAGTCCTTGGAAGCTGATCCATATGGGGGGTGTTGGGAAGCCCCCAAACCACCCTCAAGCACCACGATTTTGTAGTAGGACTCATGGAACTTGGAAGAGCTGTCGTGCTGTGGAGTGTTATGGTTCCTTACAGAGTTAGACTGCAGGCTAAAGTCCACAGAATCTCATAGGGTGGGGTGTGGAGGGAACAGGCAGACCACAGGTGCCCTCTCCAGTGGAGGCCCACAGACAGTGATGGGTGATGACGTACACAGAGTATTCCCAGCTTGGGCAGTTCACCTGAGCCTTCGTGAGCAGAGTTTTTATTGGGGGTCTGTAGAGTAGGTCTATAGAGGGCTCATATGACTGACCTAAACTACGCAGTCTGTGGTCTCTCCAGACCATGGCCCAGGGCCTCAGGTGTATAAAAACAGTCATTCATCCACTGTTAGCATGAATATCTGGTGTGGTCCAAGGACCCTGACATACTGAGGTGCTCTTAGCAGGGACTCCCACAGTACCACCTGACACCATCTCCTAGAAGTCACTCAAGGTAGAGTGCTTAAGTGGAATGCTCCTGGTGGAGGCAGGCACCCCCCAGTGTGTGAGCATGCATGTGTGTGCACGTGTGTGCATGCAACTCATGCTAAGCAGGTGCTCCACCACTGAGCTGCACCCCAGCCTGGCAATTTGTCTTTTTGCAACACTGGAGGTGGGACCCAGAGCCCTGTGCTTGCTAGGCATGCATTCTACCACCCGAGCTGTGTCCCAGTCCTTTGGTTTGTATTTGGCTTCAGAGACATGGTCTCACTAGGTAGCCCAGGCTGGCCTCAAACTTATCATCCTCCTGCATCAGCCTCCTCAGTATCTGGGATTACAGGTGTGAGCCACCACACCCAGCAACCATAGGCTTTCTGAGCTAACTCTTACTGTGCGGGGAAGAAGAAGAGGGAGGGGATGAGGAAAGCACATGGGATCTGGTGTGATCGTGTGATTGGATGGCCCAGGATGCTATCCCTAGGTTGGGGTGTCTGGAAATAGGAGCAGGTGTGAGGAAAGACACAGAATTCACTCAGGACAGCTGCTGGCTTTGTTTGCCTTCTCTGCACACCATTTGTGAGGGAGGGGTGCCCACCCTAGGATTACGGGGATGGTTGAACCCACAATGCATAGCAGCACAGGATTCATGAGTTCAACAACAGTGTATTAACCACAGACCGGGTAAGGAGGACATGGAATGCCATGCAGGACTGCAGGGGGACTCAGGATCAGTGTGACAAGGGACGGTGGGAGTCAGACTTTGCAGTGACAAGGCAATGCAGTGAACTCTGGCTCCCAAGGCAGGATGTGACTATCGTGTTTCAACATTCTCACAAGCTGGCTGACTTCTTGGGATGAGGACCTTGGGGGGGTGCAGCTGATGGGAAAACTAGCCAGGCTCCATGAGGAGCCTTCCCATGGGGTGGGGAGCCTTCCCATGCCAAATGCAGGAGATCTTGTGGTCCTTGGAGGCCTTCCCAGATACAGGTATTAAGGTAACACCTAAAACTGAACTTCATTTTCAGACCACGTACCACATGAGTGGAGGGATTTGAGAAGCACAAACATTGCAAAACTGGATTTCAGACTGAATTAGAAGTTAGCCCGGTGACCACACCAAAACAGGTACACGAAGATGTTGACAATATTGAGCAAGAAAATATGAAACAGGACGAGGGAGAAATATTAAGTTGGAAAAATGTAACACCTGAAAACTTTTAATAGTGGATGCAGAACAAAATAGGACTCAGCTGTAGAATACAATAGCAGCTTCTCAGGTTGGATGGAAAAAACTCAGATTAAAATCCATTTTGTCAAAGAAATGCTATGTGAGATGGGCACTGGTGGTACAGTGCCCTGCCACCAAAAAAAAAAAAGAAAGAAAGAAAGAAAGAAAAGAAACCCACAATTATGACTTCTTAATTGACTCCCACACTGGAGGCAGCTCTCAGACTTTGGGGTGGATTTGCGAACACTGACTCTCAAACGACAATAATTGCAAGAGACTCAAAACTGTGTTCCCAGCAGTCAGTAGAGAAACTGGTGGAGGTTGGGAGTTGTGGCTGAGGTCCGTGCACGCTGGGTCCTGTGAGTCTGTGACACCATCTTTGGGTTATTTCACCAGTCACAGAATACATGATTGGAGGAGACTTGCTGAGAAAATGAGAATTCCCACACTGGTTTTCAGACCTGTGGGTGGGGGCTGTTACAGAAGGAAAAAAAAAGCCAAGTGGAGACGACAATGCTTCTGCTATACCCAGAGAAATCAGGAGATGAAAGCAAGACTGCAACGTACAGGGACTACAGAGGTCAGGGCCAGTGACCCAAGGATTCAGGGTTGAGGGTTCCCACCACATCCCCATTCAAGTAGCCTATTGGCCTGTGTGGTGGTAAATGCCTGTAATCCCAGCTACTCAGGAGGCAGAGGAAACAGGATTGACATACTGCCTTGCCAAAAGCATCTGAAAACCAAAATAAAAGCAAAAGGGCTGGGGGTGTAAGTCAAGTAGTAGAGCACTTGCCTAACAAGTGCAAGGCCCTGGGTTCCATCCCCAGTATTGGGAAGGAAGGGAGGGAAGGAGGGAGGGAGGATGGGGGGGCAGGAAGGAAGTGAGGAGGGAAGGAAGGAAGAAAGGGATGAGGAAAGGAAGAAGGGAGAGAGGAAGGAAGAAGGAAGGGAGGGAGAAGTGGGGGAAGGAAGGAAGAAGGGAGGAAGGGAAGATGGGGGAGGGAGGAAAGCCCCGTGGGGATGGATCTGCTGTGGCTTCTGAGAGCGCTGAGGTGTGTCTTGTCTGGTTTTCATGGTTATCCTGGCTACAGGCTGCTTAGCCATCTTACTGATCATTTTATTTATTTATTTATTTATTACTGATCATTTTAAAGAACATGCTTTCATTTTGGTTGAAATGAATCATTTTCTCTACTAATTTCCTGTTTTCAATTTCTGGTATGATTTTTCTCACTTTTTCTGCTCAATTGAGATTTAAGTTGCTCTTTGGGGTCACAGGAGGTAGGACTGGAGGCTGGGAGGGAGAGTAGGGGGCTGGAGGAGGGTCCAGATAAAGGTGTGGCCACAAATGGGTCCTTGAGGAGGGATGATCCGGGGGCAGGCAGGATGTGGCCAGTGTATGGCAAGATGTGCCACCTGCCATGCCTCGGTTTTATGGGTGCCAGCCGAGCACACCAGAGCCTGGGACAGAGGGCCTCATTACTCACTCAGCAGACATCATGAGTCCATATTCCCATCAGTTGACCTTGACCCCTAGATCCTATGTGGTGATCAGAGTAGTCCTGGAGGATTCAATGCTCACTATTGAGAAATCTGAGTTTTAGAATCCTCAATCTGACAGGCAGGCTGTCCAGTGCACACCTGTAATCCCAGCATTCAGGAAGATGTCAAGTTTCAGTCCAGCATGGGCTACATAGCAAGACAATGTCAGAAGAGAGAGAGAGAGAGAGAGAGAGAGAGAGAGAGAGAGAGAGAGAAAGGAAGGAAGGAAGGAAGAAGGAAGGAAGGAAGGAAGGAAGGAAGGAAGGAAGGAAGGAAGGAAGGAAGGAAGGAAGGAAGGAAGGAAGGAAGGAAGGAAGGAAAGAAGGGAAAGAAAACTCAACTAAGATAAATAGGCCCCTCAATCTGATAGGGGATGGGACCCTAGCAAACCTACTCAGTCTTTGTCCCTCGTGGAGACACTAGTTTTATTGTCATGCACCACAAACAGAACTGCTCTGCAGAGACTATTAAAATGTTTATCTTCCTGGACATTAAACAAAGCTGCCATGGGAGCAGATAGCATTTGCAAGACCGCTGGCTGGCCAGACATCCTTGGTAGACGGTCGCCAGCAAAATGATGTCAGTGTCTTTGCTCAGAAGCCACAGCAATGTGAGACTCAAGAAAAATTGTCCCCAACACTGTTCAGCTCGTGTCCTCTACCCTTCTTGGCAGGAGAACCGCACCCAGCGTTTTTCTGCCACATCCATGTTCCCCCAGACTCACCCAAATTTTAGGTCAAGTTCCCAGTGATGGCAGGAAGAATGTAGTGATTTGATCCAGATGTGCAAGCCTCAACCCCCGTGGTCAGTGTCTCTGTGTGGGTGGCTTTGACCCTGATGGGGAGAATATTCATGCTTCTCATATAGAGGCTCAAGGTCCTGGAGGATGGGAGGACATCCAGGGACTGTATGACTAGGCAGGGGACAGAGGAGCTCATCCTGCAGGGCCTAACCTGTCCACGGGAGGACGCTGCTTTTCCTCTAGAGAGCTGGGGAACTGTACAGGGTGCTGGGCAGAGGCAGAAAAGGACCCAACTCCAGGCTCACAGACGCCCTCTGGTGTCTGTGTGGGGGATCGGACTGCAGGGAGGGGGAGAGGTTGGAGGTTGTGGGATGAGGCTGATCTGGGTGGAGGATCCAGGCCTTGTGCCTGTCTGGCCCTTCTTCTGGCCTTTCACACATGCTGAGGCCTCGGTTTCTCCCCTTTCACTG